TTTACTATTTGAGTTCACGAGCAGAGAGATAATGCTGAAACTGTATAAAATGTTGGCTAGGCCCCAACTAGATTATTGTGTGCTGTTCTGGAATGCACATTATAGGAGGAATGTGATTGCACTAGAGAGGATGCAGTCGATGTTGCCTGGATTAGAAAGTTTTAGTGGTGATGAGAGATTGGAGAAACTAAGGCTGTTTTTGTTGGAGTGTATGAGACTGAAGGATAATATGATTGAGATGTATGAAATTATGAAAGGCATAGACAGGATAGACAGAATGAAACACTTCCTCTTAGTGGAGGAATCAGAGAGCACAAATTAAAGGTAAGGGGCAGAAGGATTGGAGGAGGTGTGAGAAAAAATATTTTATCCAGAGGATGGTGGGAATTTGAAACTCAGTGCCTGTAAGGATGGTAGAGGCAGAAACTCTCATAACATTTAAGAAATATCTAGATGTACATTTACGATGCTAAGGCATATAAAGCTCTGGACCTAGTGCTCCAAAATGGGATTAGAATAGATAGGTGGTTGATTTGACTGGTGCAGACTTGATGAGCTGAAGGGCCTTTATTTGTGCTATACACTTTATAACTCTATGCCTCTAATTCCTAAACCTAAAATTTATATATTAAAATAAATGAATTATGAATTAAATATTCAAAACAATTTGTTAAAACACAAAAAGGTGATTAATACAACAGACATTACAAATCACAAAGCCATGAGAAATGAATTATTTTTAAATACAGATTGGAAACAGTCAAAACTCATTATTTATCCTTTGAACATTTGTAATTAATATTCACACTTACTTTGGCTCCAGAAGAATCAAATTACAGCATTATTAGTGTATTCCTAACACTGTGTTTGTTAACTCTTTATTTAATTAATTGTAATTCACTCTTTTGATAATGTGGACTGTCAATAAAAATGAAGATTCATAGAAAATGGATTTGCTTCTGACCAAAATGATGCATGACTTTGCTGGGTGTGAGTTATCGGCTGGGATATATATCTCATCCACCAGTCTTCATTGCATTATTTAATCTTACATTAGTTAATAACTGAATGAAATTTATTGGCACATAAAGGCAAAGTTAAAGTAATCCAAACTGATATATGTTGAATTACATTCTGTATTAAATATTGTAAAATATTTAAACAAATCTACTAGATCCTTGCATGGACCCACTTTTCACTTTAACATTGTTAATCATTTGAAGTACATTTCCTCCTCTGGTGTCAAAAATGAAGCTGGAATTCCCAAACTATCACACTTCCATTGCAATGCATAATGGATTCAGACCGCAAAAAGAATGGATTAAGATTTTTCACTGATAATCAACACGGAAATCACTTTTGAGTGTGTCTATTTTATCTCTTCATTTTTTTAAGGATCTTAGAGCTGTAGGGTGTCCAGTGCCTTGTTCTGGCTTTGAACATAAATAGACTGTGTTGCCTCATTCTGATTCGAAAGCTTCCAGATAGTTCATTCCAAGCTAACTATTTAACTGACTGTTTTTTGCCACAAGACTCTGTGAGGACCATTGTAAACCATTGAGAATACAACTGACACGATTGTCAGTGTTTAGAAAAACATTCATCAGTCTTCGGTAAGTCAGCTTCACCATTTCCACTTGTGAAAGAGGTTGAGTGCTGCATTCAGCTTTGTTCAATGCTGAATTACCTAGTTAATATAAAGTTATATCAGCACAATATTTGTTATCAAGTAAGGTATCGGAATATCATCTGCGCCTTGTCTTTATATCATCACCGCAATTTCATTCCTAGATCTTTGTTATTCTAATTATGTCGAATGTTAAATGAAAGAAAAAATCACCCAAGGTGCCAAGAGTATCTGAATATGAAACTAACCGTTTAATGGGTAATGAATAAATTGCACATTCTCAGCCATTCCTGCACAGACGGATATTTTATCTGATACATTATGTAATTCGGTTCCAATACCCTTTACGGAATGAAACCGTCTTCCTTACCCGGTCTGAACTACATGTGACTCCAGAACCACTGCAACTAGCCTCTGGGCAATTAGAGGTGGGCACTAAATGTTGGTCTAGACAGAGAAGCCAGTATCCCGTGAATGATTAAATAAAAACGATCATTAGAAATGTTCAGTGATATGCTACAAATCAAGTTCGGATCAATGTGAGGCAGTCGCGTTGTTTGCTTCTGGCAATAACAAAGCCAATGCTGAATGCTGCACTGATTTTCCAGATCCTCAAAAGTAGACAGAAAGATGGAGCAAATAAAGCGAAACAAATTCCCCAAAGCATTACCTGTGCTAACATTACCGAAGTAATAGCATGGGCCCCTGGAATCATCCCCGAACTTTTGTGATTCTGTGCCTAACTCTGATGAAAGGTCAATGACTTGCTCTGTTTCTCTCTCCCACAGAAGATGCCAGAACCGCTGAATATATGCAACACTGTTTTCATTTCAATCATGTGTTTACATATTCCTCATATTTTACCTCTACCCAATAGCAAGATCCCAGAGGTAAGCTTCCCCACCGTGCGACAGAGGCTCCTCCTCGGTCGTGTTCCCAAGTGGGATTTATTTTAATCCCCACGAGTTTTCTTTTAAAATCCCGTTCTGTGTGCTCACTTCATAATCTCCTAGCCTTTGTGAAAGATAATGAAGAACTGCTGGCTACAAAGGATCTTTAATGGGGCAAAGCGGGGTTACAAAGGGAAAATAATCACAGGTGACCAGCAGGGGAAGAATAACAGTGAAAACGAACACCAAAAGTCAGAAAATTAGAAAAAAGGGAATCAGCAGGTGCTTTTTTGATGACCTGTCGACAGATAATTTAAACTAAACCCTATCCGTGAGGTCTGCAAATGCCAAATATAATTAGAATAAGCTAATGTTATAGGAAACCCTTTATCAATAGGCAAATCATCGACTTAGATCAAAAATAATTGGAATCTACTGTTATTAACCATCATAATCGTCATTCTTCAGAAATGATTAAAACCGTAACACTTCTATTCGATTGCCCGGTTGTATTAAACTCAAAATTGGAGCTTAACATGAACAGGGCGCTCTATGGCCATTGGTGAGCTAAAACAGAAAGATGCAATTAACTAGTGACAAAAGCTACTGGAGAGTTTAATGCAGTCTCGTGAATTTCAAATCCTCTGAGTAACACCGGGCTATTCTCCCTCTATATCACCGAGTTAAGTTTACAGAGCTGCACGGCGGGAATGACAAGGAACTGAGACATTAAACTAAACATCGCCTGAGGCAAATACTATTTTTTTTTCTCAGACGGAATTAAACAACCGCATTCTTAAATGTATAAAAGTCACGCGGAAGAGGATCGTGTGAGCAATAAGACATGATCCATTTCCCACGTTAAACCTAATGGCTAAACGTGCAAAGATTCATAATGACAGAAAATACGTAGGAGAGTTTATGGTTCAATTAGTTTACTGTTCTCTTCAGGTTCTGGAAAGCAAAGAATCACAATCGAAAAATATATTCTGAAACAGATTGAATTAACTGACATAACATTGCAGTTGGGCAAAGTATATGAAAATAGGCAACCATCATACTTCAGTTTAACAATAAGAAACTACCACACATTTCGCAATATTAGATGGCAACATTGTGTCCAACTCCTAAATGATGAGTACTCTACGGAATATGATTCGCGAAGAAGACCTGGAAGAATACATTAAACGCTATCGAACTTGTTTTATTTTTTCACCTCAAATAAACAGATTTCTGGTTTGTTTTTGGTACAACCACATTTCGTTCAGTAAGTACGTTTGCACATAAATAATTCTGAAACTTGCATTTTATGAGATAACGGCGCGAACACAGCAAGCACAAATCACCCAGACAGCGAAAGTGACAAGAAGTGAAATTTGAAGCATTTGGTTTGCGGATACATCAGTGGGAAATTGTCAATTATTCTAATCATTGAAACGTTTTTATTTCGACGAAACTCGCTTGTTTGTCAGAAATTGTTTATGACAATGTTTCGTTGTGCTTTGCACCATGGTTCTCCTCAGATCCGCAATAGTTATAACTAATCTGGAGGATTGGAAATGTTAACAATTGTGCAAAAAGAGAGTTTTTTAAAAATTGAATTTGTGTAATTGAAATAGCTTAGAACCCTCTGATTTTTCGACATTCCGATTGTCGCAGTAACGACTGGTACACAAAATCCTTACTATGTATATTCCTCCTCTTCGTTTAAGGTCGACTACGGTGAGACTAACGTGGGACTAAGCACCTGCAGGGGGACACATTTAATTTATGGAAAAGCGTCAACATATTTGATATGAGGCGGTATCTATGAATTTGACATATTTATGTGTCATTCGTGCACACGTCTGTTTAAAATTGTTACATTCTGTGTCATTTATAAAGGGGCTACCTTGCAAAAGCGTTATAACAAAGAAACACATTAAATTACTCGATTACTTTCTGGAAATGGAACTCTATCGAATACTACAAAGCAAAAAGATTAAATGTGTAACTAAAGTTTGAAAAATAACCTCAATCTTAATCCCAAATAATCTTCATCTCCGAAGTATCAATCACTTTTTTTCCATTTTTAGTATATTTTATTTGAGAAAATGTGCATATGTTGTAAAGTTACTGTGCAGTCTATCACTCGATACATTAGAGACGTTATATATTATGTTGAATTTAAATTTAGATTATTTGCTGCAGATTTGGTAAAAAAAAAAGTAAATCACTGATCAGAAGCAACTATGGCTAGTAAGTGTTTATAATAACAGGAGACAACTAATTGCTGAACTGTGGTTATACATAGAAGTGAAATGGTCCAGCTAATGCAACTGACATTAACACAAGTAAACCAATAACAATTTGGGCAAATGCCACGTGACAGAAAAAAGTCATTAGTGTAAAGTTTATTTAATCATCATCCAATGGTAGACTTTACTGTAATGAAACTGGGCACTGGCTAGCTGCTGTGGTATATTGTCTTGTTTCAATTTCAGTTAATTTCAGTTTGGCGGCAAGTGTCATTTGGCCAAAATGAATGAAACGGAGGGTAGGAGCAGCGTGGCTCGTTTGCTCGATGCTCTTGAGTGTGAGTTAGTAGCAGGCAGTGAGAAAGGAGATCCCACCGAAAAGCAACTGAAAGTCACACTGGAAGATGCAAATCTTTGGCAAAAATTCAAAGCAGTTACCAACGAAATGATCGTCACCAAAAATGGAAGGTTAGTAAAAGTTAGAATGGCTTTATGTATGTACAAATTTCTGACACCATAAGGGTACCTTGAATTGTTGAAATTAATTAAATTTGTAGTGAAATGCTTTGTTTTAAATAATTGATAACATACATTCAATAGGCAAAGTTTCAGACAGCTTGGCATAAAATATATGCTGAGAAGTGCAGTAGGTAAGTGAGCTTTCCATGATGTTCACATTTTCTATTCAAATAAAGTTGTTACATTATTTTGTCATGATTAGACATTTTGCTTGGCTTTTTGGGGGTTTTGTTCTGTATGTTTGCCTAATAAGATAAAAAGAATAGTAGAAGCAGTGAGGACTAAACTATGTTTTCACTCCTGAATATAGGAAATTTCTTTATTTAATCTCCCATCATAATATTCTCAGCTTCTCTTACAATCCCTTTTCTTCCTTTTCCATTTTATTTCTTAACTCCCCTGTGATATTTGTGTTCTACTCTTTGTCTTTTTTTTTGCTTTTTGATGTGTCTCTTTCTATCTTCCTATTTATCTGTTTGCCCTGTTCATATTATTTTTATCTTTTTTTTTGTGACGTGCCCAGATCGCAGCTTCTCCAGTTCCAATTCAAGCTGCTGTCATGTGTTGCTAGTTTAGAGGCTGTACAGCTTTCCTGTGAAAATACCCAAATTCAATACAAATCTGCAAATCTGTATAGCAATAATTGTATAGTTTATGCAAGCTTCAAAAATCTCAGATCAATATTTCCTGGAGGTTGCTTGTGTACAGCCACATTTTGACTAATATGATTAAAATACTGTGGGCATTGCTTCCTGGGTCAGTATTTATGGCCCATCCCTAAGTGCCCCTTGAAAAGGTGGTGATAAGCTGCCTTCTTGAACCACTGCAATCAATTTGGTGAGGAAAGTATTTGTCCCATTATAAGTAAATTTCATCACTAAAGGCTGCTGGAATGTGTCTCTCATTTCTATTAATAACTGTGAAAAAATCCATTCTGGCCTTCCTTATAAATTTCCATATGTCAATGAAAGGGCAGTTCAATGTTTCAAAAGTAACACCAAACAACATCAAAGAGATCATCTAACTCATCATGCCTGTGGTAACTCTTTAAAAGAACTACACAATGAGACACCACTCTTCTTGCTCTTTGCCTTTCACCCGTTATTTCTTTTCTTCCTTTAATTAATTTTTTCCAATTCACCTTTTGTAAATTACATTGAACTTGTTTCTACACTCCTTTCAGGAAACACAATTTAGATCATATCATATCATATCATTTCAAAAACATTAGACAATCTTTAAATTATTCATTTATAGAATGAACACTTTGAGGGATTATAGGCCACAGTAACAAAGAAAATATTTTAACTGCAGGCAATAGCATGACCTAGATGGAAGAGAGAACATACAAAGCAAATTTCAAAATTAAGAGAAAGGTAATCCTGAATGAAATCTACTAAATAATAAATTCCATTGCCATACAATAAGATTAAGGTATCCTGATAAATTAATATCTCTTTCTTTGATTATTTTACCATAATTAAACATAAGACACTGTGAATTGGTATTTTGCAAAGCAGTGAAGCAATAAAGAATTGTTATAAGTCTGTAAGCTTCAAAATTGAAGTTTAAATAGTTCAACAATGTTTTCAGAAACTATAATGACCTCAAGATACACTCCAATCTCTTCTTTTCAACATAATATTTCACAGTGAAAGATGATTTTGCTCCACTTTCAAGATTTTACTTTTGATGGCAGCAGTTATCAAACTGAACAGTGACGGATTATGTAAGTCATCACATGATCTAATTAAAGTGCTACTGACCCTGTAACTTAAACTGTAGGTATATTTGGTTTTATTCTACTGTATGATAAAGGTGTGTAGAATATACCAATTTTTCATTTAATCTTAAAGCAAGGTATGTTATCTCTGTAACAGAAAAAAAATCTCAAATTGAAACATCTTTATGTTATAATCCTTTTAACTTACTAATGGAAGGCTTGTATTTATGCAATGCTACCTCAACATACATATATACTGAATTACTTCTGAAGTGCAGAGACCACTTTAATGCAGCTAAATATAGTTATTAATCCTGATGGTAATACTTGAAGTAATGTTTTGATTATTTTTGTTATTTTTTTTAACTAATATTCCTCTGTTTTTCACCAATGGCTTTAACCTGTTCTACTCACAACTCCACCCCATTCCACCCAACTGAGATTCAAGGCGCAGACCTTGTTTTCAAGCTGCTGTAATATGTCCTGCAGCTGCTTACCAAAATTCTGAAAATGTTCCCAGTATGTGCTATCCACATAATTATGGCAGATTGAAAAATTTATGCTGTCTATGTCGATGGTGAAGATAGTGTTCAGATGCGTGCAAAATGGAGCTTAATAAACAATTGAAATGAAGTAAGGCTTGTGCAAAGAAATGACAGCATTCATCAACAACAAAAAAAAACCTTATGCATCTTTTGGTTGCAGTTCTGTCTCTAATGGCAGCATAATTGACATGTTTGTCTCTGCCATAAATTGTGACAATCTCATTTGCTACTCAATGGGCTAAGTACATAATTTTTACCCCTTTTAGACCAGTGAATGGATGCAACTCTGGTAGCAATTATTATTTGATTATCCGTAGTTCCATCATTGAGTGGAAAGGCAGTAGAACTTGCCAGAATACCTCCTTCTGAATTTAGGATATTCTCTTCAGCCTGAGCTTTGGATTGATAAAGAAACCATGTGTGCTGGTCCAGAATTTTAATGTGAGATACCAAAAAAAAAGCATGCTTGAACTAAACCTGAGAAGAATGAATTATGAAACTTTCTAGGCTTTTTCTAGGTATTCATGACTTCTCTTGTAAGCATGGAAGAATCAAAACAGTGAAAGCATCAAGCTTGATAAGAGAAAAATCGCAACAAAATCTTTTCACAACCATTCCAGCTTTCTGATTAAAGCAAATTTTTAAAAAAAGAAAATGCTAAAAATACTCAACAGTTCTTGCAGCATCTGTGGTGAAAGAAATGTTTTTAAATTTTTAGGCATGTCATCAAAATTAAGAATAATTAGGAATGAGAGCAATTTTGAGCAAGTGAAGAAAAAAAAGTTTGTGGTATGATGAAGAACAAGAGAGACTAACTGATAAAAAATTTTAACGTGCACAGCCAAAGTGAGTGGCACTTGTAAAAAATGTCTAGATATGATGAGAATGGCAGGATAGCTGCTGTCTGGATGTAAAGTAACTTTTTTTTTAAATCACGAGAAAACACAAATCCGGCCAAAGCTGATAAAAGGGTTGGTTGGAGTTGAAGAATTAGTATGTGACACAGTGCCCTGCACAACACAAGTGTATGTTATGAATTTGGCTATGCACAGGCAAAATTTTCCATCCATTGAAAGGAAAAGACAGAAAATGATGATCTCCGCTCCTCAAGATCCACATTTAACTGCTATGATTCAGAGCTCTTTAGAAGGCGATATAAAACTTGAAATTATTCCCATTGTGCAAAACATAACATAATTAATTTAAAGAATGTGCCACATGACGTAAATCAAAAATTCTTATTCAGTCTGTGCTCGAATGGAATCCAATTCCTACAATGGAGAGGATACTGTACTAAATTGCAGAAACACCTAAACCTCATAAATAATTATTTGAATTCTGAAGAAATTTATTTTCATTGTAGGGACTCAACAGTTTCCAATTGATATTTTTGAATGTGTGCAAATTTGTGTGCATATACACAACTCACATGTGGATGTATGAAACACTGATTTCAGTTAGTCAAAAACCAAATATGCTAAATTCAGAACTCCACTGGATAAAAGATATCTGTAAACTATTGAAGGCACATTAAGTGAAGGTTATCATATTTTCTCCTTTTTAATGTACCAATTAACGTGCACTTTTTTGTGAGATGGAATGTATTGTAACTGATATTGAACTAAAGGGCAAGTATGTACTTGTGATGCTGCTGTGAGCTACTACGCAAGCAATTATTGATCTGGCATCTTCAAAATGTTTCTTTTTCACGTGCACTTCAAAACAAGCTAATGCATTTGTTCCAAATAGCTCTAATGAAAATGTGGGAAATTATGGGCAAGTGATTTTTCAACTTTTTGCCTGGCATTTCTCTTGGAATATAAGGATCGCAGCAGTTGAAAATTGAGGAAAATTTTGCTAATCCTTGTGATATTCAGACATGTCTTGAAATGGGTTGGTCAGTGCTTCTGCCCACAACGGTCTTAGTAAAATCTTTAAATTTGAGTCCTGTAGCCATTGTCGGACTCTGATGCTATTTTCATGTACGATTAGGCAGAGAGTGCACTTGGTATGCTCTGCTTATAATGCCTGGCTCACAGAATCACAGAATTATTATAGCGCAGAAGGAAACCCTTTGGCCCATTGTGTTTTCACTGGCTCTTTCAATGAGTAATAAAACTGTGTCATTCTCTGTCCTTTCCTCCATAATGACGCACATCATTTAAATAGAAACAATCATCTAATACTTTCTTGAATGCTTTTATTGTACTTGCATCCATCACAATTTCAGGCAATGCATTCCAAACCCCACTGTGGAAATGTTTTTTAGAACATCGTATAGGATTCATTTGTAAATTACCTTAAATCTCTATTATTTTATATTAATGTGTGCATATTTTTATATATATATACATATATATGTGCATGTGTATGAATGAATCGCTGATTTCAGTTGATGTCAAAAACCAAATATGCTAAATTTAGAACCATATATAGGCTCTTGCCTATACACTCTGACCGGCCCTCTCTTGATTTTGAAAACTTCTATCTAAAGTTCTCCTCTGCAAGGAAAACAGTCACAACTTCTTCATCTATCTTCATAATTGAAATTTCTTCTCCCTTGAACCATTCATATATACTTCTCTGCACTGTCTCCAATGTGTTTGCATTCTTCCTAAAGTGTGGCACCCAGCACCATACACAATGCTACAGCTTGTGAAGGAAGAGGGATAAAGCACATG